ATTTTATAAAATTTAAAAATTATTTAATATCTTATTACATAAATTTAAATTAACATATATTTATAAAAATATATTATAAATTAATTTAAAAGTAAGTGACAGTATCACGTGATTGAATTTCACAAAATTTTGTACATTGAATTTGTATAAACAAAATTTTTAATTTAAGAATCATTAAAATTTATTATGAACTATAAATTATTGAGTAAAGTGATTCTTCTAAAAATTATTCTATAAATAAATGGACCTTTCTCATTATTTTAATTACATTATATTTAATATTTAGAAAATAATTAATTCTTCGACATGGACATGAATCATGATTGGATGTTACTTGACTCTTACAGAAGAGAAGACGATTCGATGAGAAGAAATCATATTTTGTTAACCCAAAAAAAATAACAAAACTCATATAGAACTCAACAGTAAATATTATGTGTTGTTTTTATACTTTTTCGTAATTTTTTAAACTAAGTAAATTACACAAAAAAAATTCTTTTATGCAAATAATTATAATAAAATCTTTAAAATAATAAAGTATTAAAGACGTGTAATTTTTTAAAGAAGAAATTTAATGTATTTTAAAGTTAACATATCTAGATGTATTTTAAAGTTATCACCCATGAAATTTAATGTAATATTCTTTAGTTTTTTTTTTCAGAAGAATATTCTATTTTTAACATTAGACGTAAATTTTCTTCCGAAACATAATTAAAGTGAGTTTTTTCTCTTCTAAGTCTTAACAATGTTTTTACTATATGTATGACTAGAAAATTAAATCCTTATTAACATATTTAAGGAATTTAATTGTTTAGTAAATATATTAAACTTTATTGATTATTGTTTAGTGTATACTAATGTGTCAAGGACTTTCTATACTAGGTGTTATAAGCATTTTATGTCATGTTATAAATTTCATAGATATAGGATGTCCATACATTTAAAACAAGTCAACATGTGGCATAAAAAATCCATTTTTTATGACAAGTGGCCAACATTCGTCTTAGTATAAGTATCAAATGTAATGTTTTTATCACATTAACGCCCGCATTCCATAGCGGTAACCTTTTCCATCATAAGATGTGTCACATTCTATGAAGAGTATGATGTTACCTAACATAGAATATTGTACATTCTTTAATGGATTGTGTCACATTTGTCATAAAATATCCACTTTCTATGACAAGTAAGGTCACATCTGTCATAAAAAGTGATTTTTTTTAATATTTTGTTTGATCATTTTTTTTAAAAATTTTCCAAACTTGTATATAAAAATTACAATCAAAGCAATTCAATATAATATATAATTGTCCGTTCAATACAATCCTGAATAAAAGTTTTTCTATGTCGAGTTATTCGATACCTATCACAGAAAAACTAAAAAGTTAATCATCTAATACATTCTATAATAGGTATTAATCCACTCGACAAAGAAAGAGATGTTAATCCATCCAATATAAAAAAATTCTTTCTTTGTCAAGTGAATTAGCATCTATCATAAACTTTTTTGTCATATTTATAATTTTGTTACCAATTACTTTTTATGACGTGTAGATTTGATCTAATATAAAATTTCTATAGAAAGTAATTTTCGCCCTAATGTTATTTTAACTTATTTGATCTAATTCCTTATACAATTAAAAAAATTATATTTGCAAAGTATTGTATTATTTAGACATAATTATGCTAATGTTAAAATTTTTAAAAATTACATTTAAGAAATATTTAGTTATTTATCCGTAAAAAGTTTACCTTTAACAAATTGCATTTATCATTGTAATAAAAATAATAATTTATTAAGCTAATATAATTATGTCAATATTTTTTATTTAATTTAATTCTATTTTAAGAAAGTTATATATATATATTATTCTGATATTTATTACAATTTTTATTACTTTGAAGTTATAAATGTGTTTTGAATATGTTATATTATTAAACCTTTATTTTGTAATTACAAGTAATTTCAAAATTTTCCCCAAAATTATATAAAATCTCAGTCAATAATATTTTGTGAATAAGGGCATGTTTATTATTCTAATATGAAAAATAGTTTGCCGTCCTATAAAACCATGTCGGCATATTTTTTTATATAAAAAATATCATTTAGGATTATGTAAGTGTATATATCATTGATGAAAATTCATATAAATTTTAATAAATAAAATGAGTCTAACTTTTGACGATAAATATTAAACAGTATATTAAAAAAAAACCATGTGTCATGTCATATGCATGTAGCTAGTCAAATTTGTAAGTTGATGTACGTAATGATATTTATAAGTTGACTGTTGCGATGTAACTTGATGACTCGTAAGACAATTAAATTAATATAGTAAACGAATTACGAACAATCCAATAAATGACGGAAGTTAGTAAAACAAGCACTTTCTAAGCTATCATGCTTCACGCGTTTTACAGAGTTTTATCTTTAGACGTTGTTTTTACACAAATTCAATCCACATGATGATGTGAAACATTTTCTCACGAATTCAACGTGTAAATCTAAAGTTTTTGGATGAACGTTAATCATAATTATAGTAATAATGTTAAAATATGTTTTTACTCCTAATAAAATTGTTCAAATTCGTTTTTAGTTTCTCTAAATTTGTTTGTTCTATTTTGGTCCCACAGTTTTAAAAATGTATGACTTATCACTACACCAAAATTAATTTTTTGTGGTAATTAATTTATTATTTAGCGGCCATATAAATGACTATTATTATTTTTACCAGCATTTAAATAAATGCCGGTATATTCAGTATCGCTAATACTATTACCGACATTTATATAAAATGCTGGTAAAGATCTACTAAATTATTGGAAAAAATTATTTTTTTTATTGACAATTCTAGTAGCCATTTTAAAAGCTATTAAAAGTTATTTTTTCAATTGTCTCATTTACTTTAAATAATTTATTCCTATAATTCCTTTTCTAAATTCACAACTTATATACTTTTTTTTATCTCTACTCGATATGGGATTTGTAAGATGAGAGTTGTCTTTTATTTATATATTTTTTAATTTATTTTGTCTCTTAAAAAATGTGAGATTTATAAGGTGAAGGTTATTCTCTAATTGTTTTATAACACTATTGAATTTGGTAATAATGGGTGATTTGATATCAATTTAGAATAGTAAATTAGGAGTCAACCCTATAAAATGAACCTGTAAGGTGATAGTTATTACTCACTTATATATTATTTAATTATCTTATCTCTAATCGATGTGAGACTTAAGTTTTTTCTAATAAATAATTGTCACTAATAGTAAACTTTAGTGTAATATATATGCATTTTTAGTGACTATTATATATTAGCCATTAATATTTTTATATATGACGGCAATTAAATTATTGCCATTAAATAATTGTCGTTAATAACAAATTTTTTTGTAGTGTATAGTTTTTTTTTTTTAATTTTTTTTTATCAATGTCTTAAGATTTTGTTTTAAATTAATCTGATTAGAAGATAAGTAAATTAAATTTGACAATTAATGTGACTATACTAAGTAGAGATAGTTGTTTGTTATTTTTGAAGATATTAATTGAATTATGTGATATTGTTAATTATATAAATAAAATTAAAATTAAATTATC